GCCTTTTATGTTTTAAGTTTTTTCTAATTTATTCCAAAAGTTTATTTATATCCAAAATTAGACTAAAAATGACACATTAATAGCCACATGAAATAAAAATATTTTATTGTATATAACTTATATTTCTAACACAAATATGAATTCCAATATAATAATACAATTTTTATATTGTATGACATTTTCTATCTAATTTTGAACAAAAAATAACTTTAGGAGTAAATTAAAAAAACTTAAAACATAAAAGGCTAAAAGTGAAAAAATAAATAAATTTTAAAAATCAAAATAGAATAATGGCCAAACATAAAGGGGCAGAATGTAATTTACCAAAAAAAATAGTCACCGTTATACTTTCTTTAGAAGGGGCCCTTTTCCCTCCATGCGCCTCCCTGTCTCTCTCATCATAAAAATGTCTTTGTGCAAAATTTGGTCCTAAATTTCCTCCAAAGCTGTCATTCTTTCCTCCTCCCTGGATTTCTTGAATCCAAACTCATCCTTTCTTTGTTCCTAATGTTGACAGAAAAGGTATGATCTTCTCCCATCTTCTCTCATTGCATTCCTTATCATTATTTTGTGTGTGTGTAAGTGTTTTTTTTTTTTTCTTTTCCCCATTCTTTGATGATTAAATATTTTATGTCTCTGACAATGAATTGAATTTCCCATTTTCTTAATGGAAGAATTAAAAATAGGTTCTTGATGGTCTCTTATTTTGGGTGTTTTTTTAACCAAAATTGTGCTTTTATCCATTCTTTTTTATGAATTTAAATTTGATGTTTGGCATCTATTGCTTATGGGCATTATGTGTTTGAATTTGTGGAATATGTGTTTCCATTGGGTCACCAGGATCATATCATTTGATCCCTCATTTTGTTTTTTTTTTTTTGAGATAGTAAAAACAATTGATTCTCGATATTGGGTTTTTTGAACCTTTGATTTCGTGGAATATTTACAATTTGATGGGTTGCTCTCTGTGTTGCATGTGGGCATAGTAAATCTCTCATAAGGGTTTTTGAAAGATACATTTGGATGTTTTGGTGCCAAAATCATGGTTTTTGTTTTTTTCGTCTTCATTTCTTCTCATATTTTTTGGAAGTAAATTAAAGGGTGGCTTGGCCCAACAATAAGGTTTGTTGTTGACTTCATGGTGGCGCAGGTTTGAGTCATGAAAACAATCTCTCCAAATATAGGGTAAAATTGCATACATTTTGTCTCTAACCCCGCTTTAGTGGGTGTTTGTGCGGTCGGTCAACCTTTTTTGATATATGGAAACGAAATGAAGCATACTATGATTTTGTAGGTTGGTGTGTGTTTCATTTAAGAAAGGTATTTCTTGGGGTTATTCCTAGGAAAAATCAAATATTGTTTTATTGTTTTAGATGTGCTATGGGTTGTGTCTTATATGAATACTTGGAATTGAACAAAAGTATGTTCTCATGACACCTATGTGATTAATAAATACTGGATTCAAATATTTAGAAGGAAAATATGTTATTATTCTTGGTTCCATTAGATCACGTACATTTCCATTTTTCTTTTGATTACTTCTTGATATCATAGTTTTCATGATTATTTTTCTTCTAAGATTTTTGTTTCTTGTACAAATAGACTTATTTTATTTGCCATTCTTGAATAGAACGAAGAGTCTTACGAACCACTATCTAATGGATGTTGGTAAAGGATCAAATAATGCCAAAAAAGTTAGAATTCCAATACACGCTTCACATATTTTCTTGCATAAATTTTTATACACTTCTATATATTTGTATACACTTTTCACATATTTCAACCCATCCTTGACCACCACCCATTGGACAGTGGTTAGCATTTTGTTTAAAAGAATTCAAAGATATTTTTCACCAACACATTCTCTCTCTCCCTCTCTCTCTCTCTCTCTCTTATTTGGACTTCATTGTTTGGTTTCATTTTCACTGCAGATGGGATGAAGACGTAAATGGGTATGAAAGGTTCAAGGGTTCTAGACTTCTAGATTTTTTATTTTTTTATTTTTCAAGTTTGAGTTATCTCCTCTCTAGCCTATCAAAACATGTTCTTATTGTTTTATTATATTATCATTTTGAATTGGATAAGGATTCAAGAAAAATAAGATCTATGATGTGATTTTGTTTTCTTCATGGTGTGAGAGCATGGTGCAAAGCAATGTACTTTTGATACTTCTAAAGGTTGTATACCTCCATTTATTCACTTGATTTTGTTTATGTGTTTTGAAGGAATTCAGATGGAGGAAGAATTGCAAACTGAAGATAATGTATATTATTTTAATCCTTCTATCCCTTTTGTTACGTTTTCAGATCCTTCCAGAATGCCTGAGAACTGTACCTTTTCTTCTTCTTTTTTTTGGCTTTTAAATGGTCAGACGTAGTTTAGAAAAGTTCAAGTTCTACCAAGATTAGAAATTAGAAGTATTTAAAGCAATTTAATATAATTTTCTCAGCCCCAGAGGACAATTTTGTTAGAAACACTCACTGTTCTTTTGGATGTATCATTAAAATTGAGTCAGTTACGGTGGTTTTCACATTTTCATTCCTTTGGTACAAAGTATTTCTTATAACATTTGAATGCAATGGTGGTGAATTTGATACAGAGGTTATGATGGTCACTTAAAGTGAAATTTGACGAAAATTATATGTTTCGTGAATCCTGTGAGACAATTATTTCACAAGTGTGAAAGGAAACAACTAGGTGCATTTCAACCTTATCAGAAACACAATCATTTCAAGGCCTCTTGTCAGAAGAGATCATAATGAATTGATTTGGTATGCAAGGGGCTATCCAAATACACATCACAAATTATGCTATTTGACTGATTTTGAGAACATGGTTTTGCTTCTTTTTTCTGTGGAAGTTTACAAGCATCATATGATCGAGAATTTTATTTTATTTTATTTTTGCCAGGAAGACAACATTGTGAAGCTTTGGAGCTCACAATAATATCTGCAATAATTATATCAAAACTTGGTGAGGTCTTTTCTTCGAAATTATAACAATTTGTTGACAGAAGTTCTTTCACTCTCTCTAAGAGATCTTGCTTTGTCTGCAGATTTGTTAGTTCACATTTTTCTTCAGTACTCTAGTATCTTATTTCTATGGAGGAGGAGGTGATTGATATCCCGGCAACCCCAGAGCCAGAGGAAATTGTGCTCGAAGGTGATTTTTCAAAAACAAACTCCGCAGAGGAGATGATTGATATCACAGCAACCCCAGAACCAGAGGAAATTGTGCTCGAAGGTGATCATTCAATGAGTAACTCTGCAGAGAAGATGATTGATATCTCAGGAACTCCAGAGCCAGAGGGAATTATGCTCGAAGGTGATCAACATTCGAGGCACTCCACTGGAAACTTAATTATTTCAAAGAGAGAAGTGAAAGTCCTACCCCGTTATCTCACTGGTTCAATGGGTTCGTGCCATGATTATTGCAAATATGGTATAGAACACAACCTCGAGAAAAAGGCAAGGCATCCCAGTCTAAAAACAATCAAAGCAAAGGCAGGTGAACGCCGATATCAGCCTGAAATTATAATTCTAGAAGTGAAAAACAAGAAACCGTTGATCAGCTCAAAGCCTTTGGCCGATTCCAAGAGCCAAACAACTCATGACAAACACCAAGTCATTGAGAAAGAAGCTCCGGTATTAGCCAAGAAGATAGCTGTATTGGCCAAGAAAGTACCTGTATCTTCAAAACCTTTCTTCTCACCTGGTGACAGAATCGATGTTTCTGCAAAACACGTGAATGATTTAAGGCCAAAACCTGTGCAAACAAAGTCATCTCCTTTCTCATCACCAGGGCGTTTAAGCACTAGAAGATACAGTGAAATCCTTCCATGGAATGGAGGTCTTCAAGCAAGTCTGGTGAGAGGTTTAAGCAGTAGAAGGCACAGTGATACCGGCATAACTAAGGAAATGAGGACTTTAAAACTCAGAAAGAAAAACAATTTGTTGCCACCAGCTGTTTTTCCACCTCCTCCTAGGCCTCTTATCAAGAGAGAATTGACTGCAAAGTCTGGGCAACGTAAGGAACTGAAACAAGTTTATCGTCTGAAAAGTCAGAATGGTGTTAGAAGAGCTGAACCCAAGCAACCCATTGCTGAAAAAGTTCCAGAAAAGATGATATACGTCGTTACAACAAAACCTGTGAACCTAACTGTGGGAGTCACAAAAAATGGTAACAAAAAATTGGAACAACATCGACATGGAATGCCAACCTCTCAATCACTCCCATCCACTGAGAGCAAGAAACTGAGACACACACAAAATGGTATTCACAGCAATCAATCATCTTCATTGTCACTTCTGTCCTCTGAGAAGAAAACTTTGAGACATACTAAAAATGGGAATCGTAATGCTCCATCATCTGCATCTTCACTATCCTTATTGTCATTATCCGGGTCTATGAAGAATGACAAAAAAGACCCCATCTCTGAAGGCAGTGGAACTAAAACTGAGAACCGAATGGCAAGTCACACTAAGAGGCCTAGAAGGGTTGTGAGAGTTAGCTCGGAAATCAAAGTTTGCACACCCATGAAACTTAATTTCACTAGAGGAAAGGTGATTGAGGTCCAGCCTAGGAACCATATTCCAAGGATACTCAGATTTAAACAAAGAAGGGTTCTGGGTGAGAACCACAGTGGCAAGGCTGATATTAAGCAGATAAACTTCAGGAAAATAGTTGGTACTGCTGATTTAAATGGTTCTGAAACCAAATCTACAAATTTTATTCTTAGACACCAGTCTGTAGAAGGAAAGAAAGATGCTCAGAGTCTGTTGAACAATGTGATTGAAGAGACTGCAAGCAAGCTTGTTGAGACCAGGAAGAGCAAGGTTAAGGCTTTGATGGTTGAGGTCCAGCCTAGGAATCATATTCCAAGGATACTCAGATTTAAGCAAAGAAGGGCACTGGGTGAGAACCACAGTGGCAAGGCTGATATTAAGCAGAGAAGCTTCAGGAAAATAGTCGGTACTGCTGATTTAAATGGTTCTGAAACCAAATCTACAAATTTTATTCTTAGACACCAGTCTGTAGAAGGAAAGAAAGATGCTCAGAGTCTGTTGAACAATGTGATTGAAGAGACTGCAAGCAAGCTTGTTGAGACCAGGAAGAGCAAGGTTAAGGCTTTGATGGTTGAGGTCCAGCCTAGGAATCATATTCCAAGGATACTCAGATTTAAGCAAAGAAGGGCACTGGGTGAGAACCACAGTGGCAAGGCTGATATTAAGCAGAGAAGCTTCAGGAAAATAGTCGGTACTGCTGATTTAAATGGTTCTGAAACCAAATCTACAAATTTTATTCTTAGACACCAGTCTGTAGAAGGAAAGAAAGATGCTCAGAGTCTGTTGAACAATGTGATTGAAGAGACTGCAAGCAAGCTTGTTGAGACCAGGAAGAGCAAGGTTAAGGCTTTGATGGTTGAGGTCCAGCCTAGGAATCATATTCCAAGGATACTCAGATTTAAGCAAAGAAGGGCACTGGGTGAGAACCACAGTGGCAAGGCTGATATTAAGCAGAGAAGCTTCAGGAAAATAGTCGGTACTGCTGATTTAAATGGTTCTGAAACCAAATCTACAAATGTTATTCTTAGACACCAGTCTGTAGAAGGAAAGAAAGATGCTCAGAGTCTGTTGAACAATGTGATTGAAGAGACTGCAAGCAAGCTTGTTGAGACCAGGAAGAGCAAGGTTAAGGCTTTGATGGTTGAGGTCCAGCCTAGGAATCATATTCCAAGGATACTCAGATTTAAGCAAAGAAGGGCACTGGGTGAGAACCACAGTGGCAAGGCTGATATTAAGCAGAGAAGCTTCAGGAAAATAGTCGGTACTGCTGATTTAAATGGTTCTGAAACCAAATCTACAAATGTTATTCTTCGACACCAGTCTGTAGAAGGGAAGAAAGATGCTCAGAGTTTGTTGAACAATGTGATCGAAGAGACTGCAAGCAAGCTTGTTGAGACCAGGAAGAGTAAGGTAAAGGCTTTGGTGGGTGCTTTTGAAACCGTGATCTCCCTCCAGGATACCAAATCCTCAGCAACAAACTAGTGCATCCTGAGTTGCTAAAGGTTAGTCTCTATTTAAATTATGACATTATAGCGGTTTTTTTATGTTATCATCCATATATATTTTGAAATTCAAGTAGGATTGAAAGCACAATATTTTCTGATATCGTAAAACAGATGGAGAAAGATTTGACTTGAGAACACTTGGATAAGAAGTTGGCTGTCTGTGCTGTTCTGCGTGTCTGTCTTCTCAATGGTGCATTTCTCATTTGTTTTTTCTGTCCTTTCTCATTATTTGTTAATTCATTTTATACTTCATGAGAGAGGCAAATTTAAACATGTATGTATATTGTGCAAAGCTATGTCCATACAGCTATTGTGATTTTTTTTTTTCTCCCTTCTTTGGAGTGTCTATTAGAATAATCCATTGTTCAACATGGAAATCATGGTGTAAGTTTGCTATACTGCTATGTATGTTTCAAAACAGATATGACTGTTTTTACTCATCTGCAATATAAGTTACATACTATTTACCTTACGCATTGAACCCACAAAGCAAGATTGTAATTGTTGTGATTGTCTTGGATTGTTGGCACATAAATTTCAACTAAATTTATGACACGTATAGAGCCTATGATAGGAAGGTTGTAGATAATCACTTCCTAAAAAAGATCAACATGATTCGTTGAAGTACATAAATAAAACGACTGTGTATCTCAACGACGTTATTCAAGATGCTCAAGTGACACGTGGAGGCTACGAAAGATGACACCTGTAGAGCCTACAGCAAGGACACCACACAGGATGAAACCCCAAAGATCAATCCGGTTAATCAGATATACGATTAATCAGATAGCGCTATTATTCAAAATTCAAATAGCACTATCATTCAATTTGAAATTCAAATTGAAGATGAAGCATTCCTATCACCTGATGGCCCTCCATAAATATGAGGACCATCACACAAGACGGGGGATCAGAAAATCTGAAGTGGAAAAGATCAGAGAGAGAGAGAAAGCAATTGAGAGCTAAAGAAATCGTTACAAGAAAGAAGAAGAGAAGCCTAGAGAACTCAAGAGCCTACGTTAATGGCGATGAATAGGTAAAGGGTTCCAAACCCAAGAATTGTATTTTGTATTCAAGGGTTCAAAACCCATAACAATTTCAATAAAATATTTATTTTTTTTTTAAATTGTCTTTTGTTGTTTATTTTGTTCTTCATTAATCGAAGGTTTCATTTGTATAAAATGTGTAATTAATGGTCTGAAATATAGATCGGAAATAAGAACCTGCTATTCAAATAATCAACACTGTTTAATCCAAAAACTAAACAGTGGACATTTGTAACATAAATTTTGAAATGTGTTGAAACACTTCATGTTTTAAAATTTGTGTCTACAAATTCTGGCACACCCAGTGGGACTTATTTCTCCTCCCATCTTTTGAAGAACAAAATATATATATATATATAGTTGAAACTTACTGATGTATTCTTTTGTTATAGGAATGCTGAAGCAACTGTCAGGAGACAAACCTACACTCCAGTGGTTCTGAAATCACCAAGGGTGGAGATAGCACCCATCACCCAAGGGGCTCCGGAGCGAATGCTCTTGGCTGTCCCAAAGGTAGAACTAACAAAATCCTGGAAAGATGCACTTCTTTCCCCTATCGCCCAAGGGGCTCCGAAGCGAAAGCTCTTGGCTGTCCCGAAGGTAACTGGTGTGACGAAGAAAGTCACACTTCTCCAGAAAGCTGAAAGTTTGAGAAAGATTACTGAAGATTATGTGAAAGCGTCAAAGCAGTAAGCAATTGTGAGGGCCACAGCCCGAACGAAGAGCTTTCTAATTCAGGCAAAGAAGGCTAATCAGTTTGCAACTATGACTTTTGTTGCAGCTTCAACGGGGGCAACAAAAAATGTTGTAGCCCAACTACTCAAAAGGGTAGAAGACTCATTAAAAGGGTGGAGTTTGCCCAGAAGAAAGCCTCCGCTGAAAACATGGCCATCATTAGGGCCATTGGGAGGAGGGTAATGACCCAAACTCCTGTTAATGGAAAAAAGGCCCCTATTGTTGAAAAAACAGTTGCGGCCTACAAACTGATAGTTCTGTTCAGAGCCCAAAATCGGTCAAACCAAATCTCAGTCAACTCTCAAGAGCCAAAGGAACACTCGTTGGCTCGACAGTATTCGAATAAGGAACACTCGTTGGCTCGACAATATTCGAATAAGGAACCCTCGTTGGCTCGACAGGGTTCGAATAAGGAACACCCGTTGGCCCGACAGAATAAGGAACACTCATTGGCCCGACAAGGTTCGAATAAGAAACACATGTTGGCCCAACGGGATTTGAATCAACATCAATTAGTAGGCTCTAAAAATGTAGGGACTGTTTTGAAAATTCATGAGGAATTTGCAAAAACGCAAACGGTTCCTTCTATGCCCCTAGGGGCTCGACTTGATATGTCATCCAGTCTAGTTTCAAAAAGACAAAGGCGAAGAAGAAATAAGGCCTTAAAGAAATTGGAACTAAGAACAGTGACAACAAATGTTATAGGAGCTATTGAAAGGGCTCTCTCGAAAGATGAACTCCAAAAACAAATTGAAAGTCCTGTCTTTGTTGGAAAATCCAAGGTGGAGGAGGGTAAGCAACCCTTGGGAAATATTTCTACTTTGGTTGAACTATCTATGGAGGGAATAAGAAAAGGGCCTATAACAAGGTCCATAACTCGTTAGGCTCAAAACAAAGCATCGCAGTCAGATGCTTCAAATATGAGTAACGTTGTAGGGGTTGATAATCCTTTTATACGAACAAGATGATTCTAGCTCGTTCGTTTCAATGGATATTGGAAACAATGAATTGAGAGATATCAACAAAGTCGCAGTTATGATGACTGAGGTTGAGAAAGAAGGTGAAAATTCGCAGGTCCAACAAGACCAAGGTCTCAAGGAAAAAGTGGTGGCCTTACAAGAACAACTTGAGAGAAGAGAACGGGAAATGGTTGCTATAGCAAATGCAACAGTTACAGGCCCAAATGACAGGACCAGGAAGTGCACCCAAACAAATGACACAACCTGTTGTGGGGACATCCGTAGGCATACAAAGCACACTAGCCGTAGGGGGCAATGGTCTTTGTTACTCCAATCTAACCAGTGGTGGTATGAATCCAGTGCTCATGGCCATGATTGATGATATGGTGAGGAGACAAGTAAAGAAAGTCAAAGAAAAAGATGATGAGAACTTTCGAATAATTACAAAACCTTACCAAGCATGGGTAGATGCTGTTCCATTCCCTTCTGGTTTTTCCCAACCAGATTTCAAAATGTTTGATAGAACAGGAGATCCAAGACAACATGTGGCTCATTTTCTTTCAAGGTGCGGGCCAATAGCCTATAATAAGGCCCTGTGTCTGCAGCTATTTGTTCAATCACTTGAAAGTTCTACGTTTACTTGGTATGCTAACCTTCCTGAGGGATCAATCCTAAATTGGGATTCCATGGTGAAGGAGTTCCTTAAACAGTTCTGCAACACACAAAGGCGAGTTGGAGTACCAGAACTGATTGAGACCAAGCAACGTGACAATGAGTCTGTTACAGATTTCATTGCAAGATGGCGCGCTTTGACATTTGCTTGTCCTCAAAAGTTTACACAATTAGAGTTAATTTGGATGTGCCTTAAAAACTTCCGACATGAGCTCTTTACGGCCCTTATGGCTCAAACTTTTGAAGGATTCAATGATCTATGCACTAAAGCTCATGATATGGAGCTGCATCTAGCTAAACGAAGGAGGCCTAGGGCCATTGAAAGGGTTGAGTCCTTGACTGCAGCTACAATCGAAACCAGAAAGAAGGGTCCCGTTGTAGTAGGGGCTAAAAAACCCAAAGAATTTAAAAAGGTGACTATAAAAGAGAGGTTGGAGAAGAAATATTCTTTCATGGATGATTTGGTCGAAGACCTATTTGAAGATTTATTGGAGCAAAAGTTGATTGCTCTCCCTGAGGTGAAAAGACCACATGAGGTAGGAAAGACCAATGATCCAAAGTATTACCCCTACCATCGTTTGATTAGCCATCTGATAAAAAAGTGCTTTGTTCTGAAAGATAAAATTCAGGAACTTTTGGACTCTAAAATTATCGAACCCCCTCCTCAAGAGAAAGCATCTGCTAACCCAATCACTATCGACAATGATAATGAAGGTGAATGGGTTGTTTATCAGTCAAAAAGCATGAAAAAAAAACAAAATGCCACAGTGAAAGCTAGAAGTGTGGTTGATTCAACAACACAAGGGCCAAAAGTTTCCAAAAAGCAAAAACCAAAAGTTTCTAGGAAACAGAAAAAAGCCAAAGTAAGTAAGAGAAAAGAAAAAAAGAACCTAAAGAAGGAAAAATGGGAGAAATTGGTCCCTGATGAGCAGTTAGAGCAAGGTCCTCTTGTCCCAGTCACATTGGAGGAATTTTTACCTTCAAAATTTCAATCTGTGGAGCTGCAGACATACTTTGATAAAAAAAGGGAGGAAAAGTTTACTTTGGCCCCTTGCCTAACCATCATTGTTTTGAGTGATGGCGAAGAAGATGAGGGTGAAGTTGGTTCAAAAGTTAGGGAAGGAGATTGCATTACATCTCCTATCTGCATACCTGACTCACCAAAGTATACACCAACTTCTCCAGAATACACACCAGCCTCTCCAGAATATACACCAGCCTCTCCAGAGTATACGCCAAAAGCCTTTTCTCCGGAGTATTCGCCAGTACCACCAATGTACTATCAAAGTACTCCAAAATATGTAAGGGGAACAGAACAAGGAGACATTGGGTGTAGTTCCGACTCTGAGCTTGTGAAAAAGGCGAAAAAACGACTACACTTCAAGGATGATGAGGTGAATGGCAGGTGTATGTCGGATGATGAAGTATGGAAGCATTCAAGTAAACAAGCAGAGTCATCTCAAGTGGAGGATCCTAATGAAGATTGGGAACTTGACTTTTCACCTGATGGTTCACCATACACATCCCCAGCTAGGACATACGATGGAGAAAGTGTATCAAGTGACCACTTTGACTTTCCTTGTAATGTCATCACTGTGAATGTAAATTTTGAAGAGCGAGAAATACATATCATTCGCAATCTAGGTAATGATGAGAAAGCAAAAATTGAAGCTAGAAGAGAAGCGGAACATCAGGCAAAAGTAGCAGTCTCTTTGAAAGATGAGGGTTTTGAAGCCCATCAAAATTTGATTATTGAAAGAAATCAAATTTCTGGACACCCTTTCCCTAATTGGGTCGAATGGGTTCAGTTCCCACGAGGATATGCAATACCTCGTTTTCCTTTATATAATAGGACAGGTTGTCCAAGGCGCCATTTGGTTCGTTTCCTTGCACAATGTGGAAACACAGTAAAAAGTCAGGCGTTACTTCTATGGCAGATCGTTCTTTCCTTGGAAAGATGGGCAGCAGATTGGTACTTCAGCCTGCCACCTAATTCAATCCTAGATTGGGACACCATGGCTGATAGATTCTATAGGACATTTTATAAACCATGGCCAATAGAAATTGAGATGTCAGAACATTTGGATGACGATGGTACATCTTCTCAAACATATGATTTCATAGAAGGCACAATTGAGGAGAAGATTGAAACTGCCCTTGACCTTCGAGAGATGGGGACTTATCACCTAAGGGATTTGTTCCCTTTATGGGTAGAGCAAACACCATTTCCTGGAGGATACGAACTTCCAAATTTTGTCCTATATGAGGGGTATGGAGATCCTAAAAAACATGTTAGGCGTTTTTTGAAACAGTGTGGGGAAACAACTCAAAATCAAGCACTTTGCCTAAAACAATTCCCCCTTTCCTTAGAGGGGATCGCCTTTGACTGGTATTGCTCCCTCGATGGAGTCGTGGTGCCTAGTTGGGAGGCCATGAAGAATGGTTTTGAAGAATCTCAATGCTTTTATAGGCATGACTCCCGATACCTAAGAAATGGGAGAAGAATGCGGCTCCAGGAAGATGGAGAAGTGACTGATGATGATGATCACCCTACAGCTGGACCAGTTAACATGGTCCAAATAAGTGAGGGAATGAAAGAAGTTGAGGTCAACGAAAAGGCGGTTGCTGAAGTATGCCAGACTTATTTGACCTACCGGAGGAAATTATGAAATCCTCAAGACCCTCAAACGTCAGAAGTTCCACAGGCTTTACTGGAGGAAGAGCAAGTGAAATATGATGTACTAGCTCATCTAAAGAAAATTCCAGCATTGTTAAGTGTATATGATGCACTGAAAATGTCTCCAGAGCTTCGAAAGTCTTTAATATATGCCCTGTCCAAGCCAGAGGATTTCCACAAAGAAATTGAGGGTAGAAATCGAGGGTAGGCAACTACATGCATGGCCATGGTAACCTTTGGTGACAAACACATGTGTGTTGAAATGACAGACCATATTCGGCCTTTGTTTATCAGTGGGCTTATCCATGATGTGAAAATTTCTCGAATTCTGGTTGATGGGGGATCTGCAGTAAACCTCCTGCCTCGGAGGGCCTTAAACTTATTAGGGGTTCGAATTTCACAACTTCGCCCAAGTTGTTTGGTCATTCAAGGATTTAATCAGAATGAACAACGCCCAATGGGGAAGATTGAATTGCGAACCAAGTTTGGAGATATTGAAGAAAGCACTGAGTTCTTGGTCATTAATGTAGACACCTCTTACAATGCTTTGCTCGGGAGACCATGGATGCATAATCATCATGCAGTGCCATCAACTTATCACCAATGTATTAAGTACCCGTTGCCTTCACCCAAAAAAGATGGGACAATTGTGGCTGACAATGATCTATTTGGAGAAGTAGATGCCTATTATGCTGATGTTCGCTTCTATACAAAGACTTCACAAAGAAAGGGAAAAGATGTGAAGAAGTCTGAAGATACTCCGAATGTCAAAGATACTCTAGAGTCTATTCCAGTTTCAACAAAAAGAACTTTTCGATATGTGCCAAAGTCCGAAAGGAAACTGGGGGCAAAGGCTCTAGCCCCAATAAATCCAATTTTGGATCTCAAGGGTGAGTTCACGTTGCCATTAAGGAAGACAAAATGCACCTATGTGGAGAAATATAATAAGATTGTGGTCCTTTCTAAAGGAAAAAGGTCGAAACCCATCATATTCCACTCACTTGGAGATGTTGAACAGAAAGTGAAAGTTGAACAAGTGCCAAAAGAAAACATCTCGAGTTTTGAGAAGCCTACCTTCAGTGCAGAAATCACACAGATGTTGGTAAAAGTTGGTTTAGATCCTGAAAAAATACCAGGAACAATGACACCCTTTGACTTTGCATTAACACCTTCACAGAGGCAAGCTAGCCAGCAAGGCGGTATTATCACCGCCAGGACAGAAGGGTTAGGCAATCAAGGGGATGAGGAAAAATTTCCAGTAAACATGACTATCACTCAAGATGTGTTGGAAGATGTTGACCAAGATGAAGCTTAACCTGCACCAACAGAATTTGAAGCAGGAGGCCAAGCCACCATGGATGACCTTCGTGAAATAAATCTGGGTAATGAAGGAGAAAACGAACCAACCTTCATTAGTGCAAATTTAAAGGAAGAAGAAGCTCGGCAATATATTTCCTTTTTAGGGAAGTATCGTGACATATTTGCATGGAACTACAGTGAGATGTCTGGTCTTAATCGAGAGATTGCAGTCCATAAGCTTGCAATTCACCCTGAGAAACGGCCAGTTAAACTGCCTCATAAGCGAACTCGACCAGAGCTTACAGCCCAAATTGAAGCCGAAGTCGACAAGCTTATCAATGTAGGATTCATCAAGGAAGTCAAATATCCAACTTGGCTAGCAAACATAGTGCCAGTCAAGAAAAAGAATGGTCAAATCAGGGTTTGCATTGATTTCCGTGATCTCAATGAGGCTTGTCCTAAAGATGACTTTCCTTTGCCCATCACTGAACTTCTTGTAGATGCAACTACTGGGTATGAAACCTTGTCTTTTATGGATGGATACTCAGGATACAATCAAATCCGAATGGCACCTGAAGATGAAGAAATGACTGCATTCAGGACTCCGAGAGGAGTCTTTTGCTATAAAGTAATGCCTTTTGGCCTGAAAAATGCTGGGGCCACGTATCAAAGGGCGATGACTGTAATTTTTGGTGATATGCTCCATGACACCATCGAATGCTATGTTGATGATCTTGTCGTCAAGACAAAGGAAAAGGAAAACCATGTAGAAGATTTGAGAAAAATCTTCGAACGTTTAAGGAGGTACAAACTCAAGATGAACCCACTAAAATGTGCATTTGGAGTTTTATTAGGAAAATTTCTTGGGTTTGTGGTTCGAAACAAATGGATTGAAATTGACCCTGCCAAGATTAAAGCCATTGCCGAAATGTCTCCTCCACGAAATTTAAGGGAATTAAAGGGGCTACAAGGGAGATTAGCCTATATCAGAAGATTTATTTCTAACTTGGCTGGTCGATGTTTGCCATTCTCAAGATTGATGAAAAAAGGTGTTCCATTTGAATGGGATCAGCAGTGCCAAAATGCTTTTAACAGTATTAAGGAGTATCTTTTGAAGCCTCCAGTACTCATGAGCCCAATAAAAAGGAAACCACTTTTGTTGTACATAACAGCCTTGGATGGTTCGTTAGGGGCACTGTTGGCACAACATAATGAGCATGGGAAAGAAAATGCCTTGTATTACTTAAGTCGTACTTTGGTTGGGGCAAAAGTCAATTACTCCCCTATCGAAAAGACATGTCTTGCCTTGGTGTTCGCCTTGCAAAAACTAAAGCACTATGTCTTGGAACACGAAGTCAAGTTGATATCAAGAGCAGACCCCTTGAAATATATACTTTCACGGCCCATACTTTCAGGGAAAATTGCAAAGTGGGCTGTAATTCTCCAACAATTCGCAATTGAATATGTTCCCCAAAGAGCTGTAAAGGGGCAGGCTCTAGCAGATTTTTTGGCAGCACATCCTATACCTGATAACTCACCTCTAGTAACTGATTTACCAGATGAAGAGGTTATGCAAGTAGAAATTCAGAAAGGATGGGAGATGGATTTTGATGGAGCTTCAAGGAGTCCAGATGGCAAGAAGCAAGAAAATCCTAAAAACAATAAAGCTGGAATTGGAATTGTGTTTGTGACTCCAGACAATGCTATAATCACCCATTCTTTCGCCTTAAGTGAAGGATGCTCCAATAATGAGGCAGAATATGAAGCTGTAATTGCTGGATTAGAATTGGCATTACAAATTCCTATTGAAGAACTCTCAATTTATGGAGATTCGGAACTGGTGGTAAAGCAACTCCGTGGAGAATACATTGTTAAGAAAACAAATCTCATCCCGTATCATGAAAGGGCTGATCAATTGCTTTCGCAATTTAGGAAAACACATATTTTCCACGTGAAGAGAAGAATAAATGCTCGAGCTGATTCACTTGCAAGTTTGGCTGCATCACTCACCCTACCAGATAGCAAAACAATTACTATCACGGTAGGTGAAAGAAGGGTATTACAACCTTTGAAAGAAGTTTCCGACTTGGTTCCAATCTTGGTCGTCACCATAAAAGGAGAAAACGAGGAAGATTGGCGGGAACCATTCATTGCTTACCTCCAACATGGTAGGCTACCTGAAGATAAAGTAAAAAGAATTAAAGTGAGATGTAAGGCTACCAAATTCGTCCTGTGGAAAGATGGAACGTTACACAAAAGGTCTTTGGATGGAATGTACATGCGGTGTATAGCCAATGAGCGTATTCAAGAGGTAATGGCAGAAATACATGCAGACGTATGTGGGGCACACCAAAGTGGTCCTAAATTACATATGCAGCTAAAACGGTTGGGATACTATTAGCCGACTATGATTGCAGATTGCATAGATTATGCTCGAAGATGCCAAGTCTGCCAATTCCATGGGAACTTTCTCCACCAACCCCCAAAGCCTTTACATTTAACAACTTGTTCTTGGCCATTTGCAGCATGGGGTATCAACATTATTGGTCCTTTTGTACCTCCATCTTTAGCAGGATATCAATACATCCTAGCTGCAACTGACTATTTCTCAAAATGGGCAGAGGCCATGGCTTTAAAGGATATAAAAAGCACAGTTGTCTCTGAGTTCATCCGAACCCATATCATTTACAGGTTCGGGATTCCAGAAAGTATCATCATGGATAATGGACAGCCATTCAGGAGTGATGCTTTGAACAAGTTATTTGCCAAGTACAAAATCAAAAACAACCATTCATCAAGATATCATGCACCTGCCAATGGTTTGGCAGAAGCTTTCAACAAGACATTGTGCAAAATTCTTAAGAAGGTGGTGGATAAGAACAAAAAAGCTTGGCACGAAAAGTTACAAGAAGCTTTATGGGCTTATTGGACTTCGCACAGAACTCCTACTCAAGCAACCCCTTATTCGTTGGTTTTTGGAGGAGAAGCAGTGTTACCACTTAAGATTCAAATACCATCATTACGAGTGGCAATACAAGAGTCCTTAACAGAAGATGAAAGTGCAAGAGTGAGGTTGGCTGAGCTGGAGACCCTGGATGAAAGAAGGTTGTATGCTCAACAGAACTTGGAAATCTACCAACAAAGGATGGCAAATGCATTCAATAAAAGAGTGAGGCTTCGTTCCTTTAAAAAGGGAGACTTGGTACTAATGGTTAGAACACCCATAGTAGTCTCACGAAGAACCAAAGGAAAGCTTGAGCCCAAATGGGAAGGACCTTATGTGGTTGAGAAGGTTTATTCTAATGGGGCCTATTTGTTGATAACGAAATCTAAGGTGATAAAACATTAGATACTCCTAGCCCGCAAGTGTATAAACTGTGTACGGCCAAACAAAGGTCAGAACCACCAACGGTATTGTATGTGGTTAAACTGCTAAAATACCTCACCGAAATCTAAGGTGATAAAACATTAGATACTCCTAGCCCGCAAGTGTATAAACTGTGTACGGCCAAACAAAAGTCAAACCCACCAATGGTATTGTATGTGGTTAAACTGCTAAAATATCCCACCGAAATCTAAGGTGGTAAAACATTGGATACTCTTGGCCCGCAAGAGTATAAACTGTGTACGGCCAAACAAAAGTCCAGGACCACCAACGGTATTGTATGTGGTTAAACTGCTAAAATACCTCACCGAAATCTAAGGTGATAAAACATTAGATACTCCTGGCCCGCAAGAGTATAAACTGTGTATGGCCAAAATAAGACAAATCAATGTATTGTATTGAGAAATTTCATATAACAAATAAATCTATTGTGTACGGCCAAAATAAAACAAATTAATGTATTATATTGAGAAATTTCGTATAACAAATAAATCTATCACTAAGCGAAATTTCATAAATACATTATGTTCGGATGAATAACAAAATAAAAGTGCATTCATTCATTAAGAGAAGCCTTAGCCCTTTCAAAGGCATGTTCCACAACACTGTGTTGTCCATTCTTCTTCTTGTGTTGGGTCAAAACATTCAGGGCAGTTTGCAGGTCTTCTTTTGATTTAGAAACATTCTCGGAAGCTTATGCAAAATCACACATAAATGATGCATGTTCCGCTTGTTTAAGTAACTCTTTGGTTTGAATAATCCTTTGATTAAGACCCGCGATGTGCTCATCCGACTTGATAATTGAAGCAGACAACTGTTCATGTTCGCCAGAAACTTTGTCAAAATGAAGTTTCTTCTCGTAATATTGGGCCTCAAATTCTGCAGTAGACAAGTTTGAAGAATCTGCAAGTTGGGTTTTCAAAGCAAAGCACCCAAGGAATATCTTCACATTCTCGTAAAAGGAGATGAAGTCTATACCCAAACTCTTCAAAATCATGAAAACGTTGTTTGCTACAGCAATCATGCCATTAACATCCGTCATTGATTGGAGAGAAATAATAAGACCTTTCTGAATATGGGTGGCTGCTTCATTAGAGGAAGTTCTCAAAAGAAAGCTAGATGGAGCAAAGGGTGCTTCAAGTTTGCCAAATAATTTGTTAACCCCATTTGTTTCAAGTAAGTCTGCAAGAATTTGGGCCTCTTCCGACGTATTAGAAGTAATTTCGTCTGTCTCTTCCAATGTGTCAGTAGTATTTTCTGTGAAAATAGAAGGAGATGCTTCATTAGAGGAAGTTCCCAAAATAAGGCTAGATAAAGCAAAGGGTGCTTCAAGTTTGTCAAATAATTTGTTAACCCCATTTGCTTCAAGTAAGTCTGCAAGAATTTGGGCCTCTTCCGACGTATCAGAAGTAATTTCGTCTGTCTCTTCCAATGTGTCAGAAGTATTTTCTGTGAAAATAGAAGGAGATACTCAATGAAAACGTAGAAGGTAAAAACAATTTATATATATAGATGAATGAAGTATACCTTGGTGTACGGCTTGAAGAGACTTAGGTAGGGGAGAAGACAAGTTGTGATTCCCACAAGCGGACCACGGATTTTGCAATGTGGCATGATCTAAAGAGAAAAGAGTTCCTTGAGTATGTATACATGATAAAATAAAATGAGATACAAGGAATGAATAAGAATACCCTTAAAGGTAGCCAATGGCATATGCGAGGCAGCTGGGGAAGTCCGAGGCGCAGTGCCTAAGAAAGTGAAAGGTATTAAAAAAAAAATGTCCTAATATAAGAAAATGACGAAAGCCCCTTGCTAAGAAATCAAACCATTGGGGTGAAAGACACAATCACTGCCAAGGTTTCAAGCCATTGGGGTGACGGACACAATCACTGCCAAGGTTTCAAGCCTTTGGAGTGACGGACACAATCACTGCCAAGGTTTCAAGCCATTGGGGTGAAGGACACAATCACTGCCAAGGTTTCAAGCCATTGGGGTGAAAGACACAATTACTGCCAAGGTTTCAAGCCATTGGGGTGAAGGACACAATCACTGCCAAGGATTCAACCCATTAGGGTGAAGGACACAATCACTGTCAAGGATTCAAGCCATTGGGGTGAAAGGACACAATCACTGCCAAGGTTTCAAGCCATTGGGGTGAAGGACACAATCACTGTCAAGGATTCAACCCATTAGGGTAAAGGACACAATCACTGCCAAGGACTCAAGCCATTGGGGTGAAAGGACACAATCACTGCCAAGTATTCAAGCCACTCATTGCCATTAGGTTGGAACGGGCAATGATACTTGCAAACAAACTCTGACGCCTTACGTGTTGCCTGCAAAAGAGATAAAAAGACATGAAATAATTGTTAACCCAAAAAAAAAAAAAATTAGTCTTTTGATTCGTACAATTAAAATTCACTTGCACGAATCACGAGGGGCAAGGCTGGCTGATTCGACTTTTTTTTTTTTGACCAATGGTACAAAGGGTTGCTACTAATACAAAATAAAATAAAAGGTAGCAAGCTTAAAAAATAAAATAAAATATATATATATTTAGTAAACAGTTTGAAACTTTGTTTGGCCTATTTAGATTCATGGTCTACAAAAAAAGGGTTTAAAAAGAAAAACCTGCTAAACAGTTTGAAAAAAAAAATGAAGCTAGTGTGGGAATAAAAAAAGCAACATGTGTTGGTCTGTTCTTCGAAGAAACAAAAAAAGGGACCTTTGTGACAAGGACTTTGTTTGGCCCATTTAGATTCATGGTCTAAAAAAAAAAGCAGGAAAAATCTTTGTTTAAAAAAGCAGGAAAAGTCTTTGTTTGGGCTCAAGTTTTTTTAAAAAAAAATTGCAGTAGCAATACATAGTAATCAAACTGTGACAAAAAGGCAGCAGGTTTTACACAAGGTTCATATGGGTTATAAAAAGGTTCATGGAGAAGAAAAATTCTACTGGAAGATAAAAAAAAAAAGAGAGCAGATTAAATTGTGACAAAAAAGCTGCAAGTTATACACAAGGTTTATATGGGTTATAAAAAGGTTCATGGAGAAGAAAATTTCTGCTGTAAGGTAAAAAAAAAAGAGAGAGCAGATTAAACTGTGAAAAAAAAAAAAAAGGGGTCTTTGGGCTAGAAAAAAATATGCTGGAAAGGCAGCAAGTTTTTTTTTGTTCAAGTAAAAATAAAAATAATAAAATAATAAAAAGAAAAGAGGCTACAGCTTTTGTTATGAAATAAGGCAGTAGATTATTCATCCTTTCAAGAAAGGTCTTTGTTGGGACTACTTGGACTTAGGGTCTGATAAAAAAATTTGGAAGGGGCTGTCACATGGTGATATACATGCTAAAAACAATATTTTATGGAGAAGAAAGCATACCTGATTGAAAGGAGTTTGAAGAGATTCTTTTGTGTCTTCTTTAAAGTATAAGAAGAACAACTTTTGTTGGAAAAAAATAAGAAAAATAATGGCTGGAAAGTTGCTGGAAATTTTCTGGAAAACAAAAAAAAAATCTGCTGGGAGAAACAAAATCTGCAGGAAAAAAAAAAAAAAAGGGCTGCAAGAAAAAAATATATGAATAGGTGTTATAAAGCAAAAATTCCTACTTAAGAAAGGAGGTAATGTTCTCTTAAAATACTTCAAACAAGCAAGAGTTTGGGTAGGATTTGAAATACTAAGTAAGAGTTTGTGTAGGATTAGAAATCCTACCAATGCCAATCTATCCTATTTCATTTAGACAAATTCCTAAAATATATATATATATATATGTTGTAAAAAAAATCTTAAAAAAATAATAAGTGGCAAGTTGGAGGCCCACAAAAGAAAATGCCCAATTAAAAATGATGGCCCAGAAAAATCCATGATGGCCTAGAAAAAAAATATGCTGTAAAAAATGGTGGCAAGTTGGAGGCCCACAAAAGGAAATGCCCAATTAAATCTTGGACCTTACTCATGACCCTTCAAAAAAAAATAAAAAAAAAAAAAAGGTCAAGTCCATAAGAAGGACCCATGCAACAAAAGTAAAAGGGCCCATGAAAAAAGAGCCGTCAACCCCCCCCCAAAAAAAAAGGGGGCGAGGGACCAAAACAAAAAAATAATCCCATCAAAGACCTAAAGATCATCCAGATAAAAGTGTCAAATTGTCGTGACTCGCACAGTTAAGAAAATTCACTTGTGCAAGTCACGAGGGGCATTTGTTGGCACATAAATTTCAACTAAATTTATGACACATATAAAGCCTATGATAGGAAGGTTGTAGATAATCACTTCCTAAAAAAATATCAACATGATCTGTTGAAGTACATAAATAAAACGACGGTGTATCTCAACGACGTTATTCAAGATGCTCAAGTGACACATGGAGCCTACAAAAGATGACACCTGTAGAGCCTACAGCAAAGACACCACACAGGATGAAACTCCAAAGATCAATCTGGTTAATCAGATATACGATTAATCAGATAGCGCTATTATTCAAAATTCAAATGGCGCTATCATTCAATTTGAAATTCAAATTGAAGATGAAGCATTCCTATCACCTGATGGCCCTCCATAAATATGAGGACCATCACACAAGACGGGAGATCAGAAAATCAGAAGTGGAAAAGATCAGAGAGAGAGCGAAAGAAATTGAGAGCTAAAGAAATCGTTACAAGAAAGAAGAAGAGAAGCCTAGAGAACTCAAGAGCCTACGCTAATGGCAATGAATAGGTAAAGGGTTCCAAACGCAAGAATTGTATTTTGTATTCGAGGGTTCAAAACCCATAACAATTTCAATAAAATATATTTTTTTTTAAATTGTCTTTTGTTGTTTATTTTGTTCTTCATTAATCGGAGGTTTCATTTGTATAAAATGTGTAATTAATGGTCTGAAATACAGATCAGAAATAAGAACCTGCTATTCAAATAATCAACACTATTTAGTCTAAAAACTAAACAGTGGACATTTGTAACATAAATTTTAAAATGTGTTGAAACACTTCATGTTTTAAAATTTGTGTCTACATGGATTAAATTCGCTTTATGCTCATTAGTCATTATTTGTTGGTGACCTGCAGTGTTAGATCTGACGCAGTAATTGTATTTGGGTCTATTTTTACCAAATTTCACCATAATTCAATGCAAAAATTTCACACAAATAAATTGAACGTAGTTCACTACCTCAACTTGGCTGTGAGGACTGCATTTACAAAAGTTTACATTCATGCACATCTAAGCATGTTCAATCTTTTGCATTCAATAAGGGGTTAAAATGAAATACAACTATAGAAGGATATGATGTTGTGGCAAAAAATACACACGAACAATAGCAAGAAAAATCAAACACAAACAAGAAAACATGACACAGATATATGTGACTCAGCAAAATTTCTTACATCCACAGCAAGCACTACTAAACTGAAAGAATAGAAGAGTACAATGCGACTATTGTGAAGACAATAATATATATATACATATATTAGGGTTTACATCAACAAATTACCATAATACTTAGTACAATTTAATATAGTACAAATTATAGTAATTGAATCCGCAACTGTATGGTGAAATGTACAGTACTAATAGGGCTTCATAAGCCCAACACGTGATGGGGTCGGCGATTTCATGGTAAAAGGAGCCAGTCAATGCTCGAACTTGGGCCATTGATAAGATGGAGTGAGTGACAGTTTCAACTCAACAAGAGCAAAATGGGGAAATTTAGGATTAAGACACGGCCCATACTCCTACGGGAGGTAGTAGTAGGGCATTTTCCACAATGGGCGAAAGCTTAACAGAGCAATGCTAAGTGGAGGAAGAAGGCCCACGGGGTCTTGAACTTCTTTTCCCAGAGAAGAAGGAATGATGAGTATCGACTGACTCTGTGCTGGCAATCATGATAATACAAAGGATGCAAGTGCTATCCAAAATGATTGAGAATAAAACATCTTTAAGTGGCTTTTTCTGTCCACCTTCAAATCCCAGGGCTCATCCTTGGCCAGCAGGTCATCATGAACTAACTCTTGGCCAACAAGCTAGCCAAAAGAGAAGTTTATTTATTTATTTATTTATTTATTTTGACAAAAAAGAAAAAAAAATGAAACTAAGCCATAGAATAGAGAAAGCAACACCTTTGAGATTAGCTAAGGAACTAGACACCAATTTCAAGGACAAGACCTCCATCCTATAGGCAGTTACTAAATCAACTAATCACCTTGACTTAGAAAAATCACACCAACCCCATGATATCATTTCCATTTCCACAGATTTCCCAATTTATTGGGCAAGTTTTGAGAGCTCAAAACATAGCATCTGACTATTTTTATATGACTGCATTGTGTTTGGAAGGAATTCAGTTTTCCTTTTCCTCCATAAATTCCTCCAAACACAACCTAAAGGTCAAGAATATTCTTAGAATAAACAAGAAAAGTATTAAAAAAAATTTATTTCTACCAATATCCCATATCCCATAAAGACGTCTCTAGTGATTTCTATGAGACTTTGTAGTGTAATGTTCACAAATCTAGCTATTTGAGATATTCTTGCCCTTTCTAATCTTGTACCTACCAAGTCTATCATATCTTTTTGGCTTGTAAAATTGTTTCTTTCAATGATTTTAAGTTTGGTAATGTAGATTAGCATACACACAAAAATTAAACCGTGAAAGAACTTTGAATTGCTTAATTGCTTGAAATCAAATATGTGATTCACTTTAGAATGGGCAGTTGGCATTCTTTAGCATTCAGAGGCAAATGTACTCTTTTGCAAAATGAAGGAACGTGACAGTACTATATACCGAGTCATGTGTCTTGCAGGTCCAACTCTGTTGTATCATGTAACTTGTTCTTCTACGTAGTGAAAAAATCCGTGACTACCGTGAATGTAGCACAATATAACTAGTGGGTAGAATTTTGTGTGGAGCTTGATATTACTGTATGCATCTTGCTAGTCCAACTTTTTGAATCTTGTAACTCATTCTTCTACGT